GCTTTTCATAAATATATTACTATGACACAACAGTACAAGCTTTATTTTTAGTAGATTTCGCGACTCCGTACGTGTGAAAAAAGCGTGTCTATGTGTCCTTCCAGACTATACTCTACATCTATACCAAATTTCATCGAAATCCGTTTAGCAATTTAGGCGGTATACTCTAACAAACATCCATCTATCTAAACTTTCGCATTTATAATAATAGTACGAATAATGTTTTAAATAATCATGATTTTTCAACGATCCTCACCTGGGTATAGTCACGATACAAAAGCGTTAACGTAAGTTTATTCTAAAATGTATTTCAAAACTAATTTCTTTTTGATGACCTATAGTTAAATACATTGCTTGACCAAGCCAAGGCCCTCAAAGAGCTGTAGAGCTAAGGAAGAAGAAGAAGAAGAGTTAAACCCATTATTAATTACGAAAAATGTTAACGTTGACATAAAATATATTTCATTCATAAAACATTGAAATCAGAGATGAACAATTTACTTGACATTTTATAAAATACGTTCCCACAAATGTTTATATTTCATATCATATGATATGACCACAGACATCGTATCTTTGATTTCAGATACATTACTCACATAAGTAGAAACAATGATTTAAAATAGTTATTGAAATGTTACAGAACGATACTGAAATTCGACAATTTATAAATGGTCTAGACTACTAATCTTGTTAGTATTATAAATGCGAAATTTTAGATGGATGGATGTTTGCTATTTAACTAATAACTGTAGAGGATAGTCTGGAAGATCTGGGTTACTTTTATCCCGGAAATTGTAACGGTTCCCGTAGGACACAATTAATTTTGTATTTCCATGTTTACTCGATAATTTCGTAACGGATCAACATTTTATTGAAATTTGGTACAGATATAAAACAAAGTCTGGAACAACACATGGGATTCAGTTCATCCCCGGAAAATTTCAGGTTCCTGAACGCTAGGTAGTTTTGTGATTTTCACAGTTCGTATATTTTTAATACTGCCTGAACGAAGTTGCGGGCAACAGTTAATACAAAATGCGAACTAGCCGAAACAAACAAATGAAACATAATTTGGTGCGTTGTGTAGAGTTTATAAACAGTCAGACAAATCATGAAATTGTGATATTTTCCATGCGTTATTTAATTAGAAAAGAACATAATGTGTTATATCATACTTTATACAGGATGTTTAAAATAAAAACAGTTTTAAAAAGATTAATAACGCATTAAACGCCTCTTCACACCGTCGATGCACTATTCAATTAAAAAAAACTATCGGCACAACAAAAAGGCCTTTTGTTGCTACATCAATATTTCCAAAGACAAAAAGAAAAATTCTTCATAGAGCATCTCTTGTTAAAGCTCTAAGAAAAGTACGTACTACAAAATAAACTCTATCTATCTATACTAATATTATAAAGAGGAAAGATTTGTATTTTTGTATGTATTGAAATAACTTAAAAACTGGAACGATTTCAAAAATTCTTTCACCATTAAAATGCTAGATTTTCACTGAGTTTTTTGAGTTATATCAATACTTACAAAAAAACAAATCTTTCCTCTTTACAATATCATTATAGACTAGCTGTTGCTCGTGTCTTCATCCGCGCGGAAGAAAAAAATGTTATAAATATAGCCTATGTTACTCAGTGATCACGAACCTATTTTTGGGTGAAACAATTTTTTAAATCGTCACAGTAATTTTTGTTTTATTTTAATACATACAAAATCTTTCCACTTTATAATATTAGTATAGATAGAAAAGAAAAGTAATAAACAACGAATTAAAATTCCTTAAACCAAACAATCTGTATGATACACGCGGTAAGAATAAAAACCGTATATTCGTCGCATATATCATACTTCGTTTCGTTTACGACAATTTATTGTATATCTAGTCAAATTTTAAATTAACTTAATTCATAATCTGTCGGTAACTTTACATTAATTAAACTTTTCATACTGATTTGGTAGTCTTAAGATGGTGGAACCGTCTCGCTAAAGAACTAAACAAAACAAGCTGTGAAAACTTAATTTTCCCAAACTGGGAGATAGAAATTAAAATAAATTCGTAGAACAATATGGAGATAGTCTCAAAGTTGTCTCAAAGGGACTATGTTAACTTAGTACCGTAGTTTATTCTTGAGTTAAATTTTATGAACAAAAGAACACTTTTGGCGTTTTATTTTCTTGGAAATTGTATACTACACTTTAGAGCATATCTGAAACTAAACTATCGCACAACTGTTTAGTCGCTTGATTACTAAGACCTTATATGGAAGTGCGCACTACTCGATGTTACAGAACTTGGTTTTATTTGTGCAACTAATCCGTGGAAACAGAACAGTTCTGTGATAATTTAGTCCAATGTGTGCAGCCGCTCTTATAGCGAAGTTACATTACAATATGGAAACAAGGGGAAATCAAGAGGGTGGAGGGGGGTGGAGTTTTAGGTTTTTTAGCTTTTAGCACTCTAAAATCATATTTTTCGATAAATATTGAAATTTTAAATTAGCTGCATACGCTAGTACTGTCAATTTTTATACACAGTTTTAACTGGACAGACGTAGTAGGCTTTAAAATACTAAATGAATTAATGATTTTAATACCGCGGATAAACAAAAAAGGATCGATAATTGGTTTCGTCACAAATCTTTATGAAATTAAAAAGATCAAATACTTTTCGATATTGAAACGAATTGCGAAGCGTAAAAGTTAATTTCAAAGTTTATTTTTACCAAGTTAGAGGGTATTATTTCGTTATTCCTAAATTGCGGCTAAGGGTAAAAACAGGGGTCGATGTGATTCGAACTGGCGTTAACTTCACTGATAACTTAATCAAAACTTCTAAATTAACTTTACGTTACGTTCTGGTAAAAAAAACAACCTTTTTAATCTACTCCGGTAAGATTTACTTCGAAACGAGTGTACAATCGCGGAAATCCGCGGTGTGCCACTTTAGGACAAATCGCCTTGTTCATCGCAACGAGACAAACTACGCCTGTTTGAAATAACTAATTACTTAGAAGTGAGTGCAAACGAAGGGATCATAATAGAAAAGAAACTTGTTTGTACAAATGGCGATTGTCGCAATGTCGGAAAAAAAATATCGGTGATACACCACCGACATTTTTTCGTACAGACATATTTATAAGCTGCGTTGTACTGATTTTAGTCCGCGCTTCGTTTCAAAATGTTCAAACTATTGTATATTTTAAGAAGGAACACCGCCAGATTACCTGGCTGTACATCATTCTCAAAGGCAGTTAACGATATTGAGATTCTTCTAGTGTCGCCAATTTAGTTGAATTACTCTGGGTATTATGCGCGGTTTATACTTTGCCAGTACAACGTCAGTAATGCTCAATTACTGGACTGCAAATACAGTAAACGCCACCAGAAATCCATATAATATGTGACCGTAACTGTGGTGGCCAAGTGTGAACCGAGCTTTATTCTTCCTAGCCAGTAACTTACCCATGGCTTAAAGTATACGAATCGAAGGTAAATTACCGTTTTGTCAAAAAAATAAACATCCAATAAAAGAATTTTAATGAACAAGATTCTGATTCTATCCATTTTTAAATTCTTTTTAATAATACAATAATCGAAATCATATTTCGATAATAAATGTTCTTCAGTTTATTGAAACCTTTGCCGTCTAGTACTCTTCAATGCTGGAATCATTTTATCTCGGATGAATGGAAATTAATATCTATTCTTTGGAATAAATAAGAAAAAGGACAAGTCACTGTCTGACCGCCTTTTTGAACAGCTGAACGAATTGATTGAAGTGTATATCTACAGGGGTGGCCAACCACTGGCACGCGTCCCATAAATGGCACACGACATTTTGGGGACATCAATAATCACAAAAACACTACGAAAAAATTATGAAGTATATGCACCATGGATTTTACGTAATCGCCGACAAAATTATTCCACAGCACGTCTAAGACCGCATTAAACATTTTTTTTAAAAAAGCACTTTAATGCATATGTTTGCCACCCCTGATCTAACCTACATGCGTATCAATACATATTATAAAAAATCACTTCCCGCTGTCTATGTATGCTTTGATTTTTAAAACTACGCAACGAATTTTGTTGCACTTTTAATAGTTATTCTAGAAGATTTAGGGCCTGTCCCACCAATTTAAATTGTCTGGTAACAATCCGACGTGTAAAATATGTGAAAGATCGGATTTTGTTACTTTATCTGAGTGACGTCATTTTTAAGCTATCTGAGCCTCTATCAGCCAGTAGTGGGGGAGGCCCTTAAATGTATATACTAGAGTAATATCGATAATTTTAGAGGTTTCTAATGTGATTTAAATAGAGACGTTTTTGTATCAGCATTGGACCCGTTCGAAATCTGGGCGGATCGCTAGTTAATGCGATTCAATTAATAAAACATTCTAAAGGTTTAGTTAAATAAAGGAATATTATTTAGAACAAAATAAAGATGTAGACGAATAGGTAATTTGATCCCAAATCCTAATTGCAAGTGCTGAATGCGCCATTTGTAAAACCGTATTTAGCATAAATATATCCCTATTTCTAGATATGTAAGTTATTAAAAATACACCTAATATCATAAGATAACATTAAAAACACAAATTCAATAAACTTTACTATAATGGTTGCAAAATTCAAATTTGATACATAATGAACAAAAATTTGATTACATTTTAAATATCGACAACTAGCAATAATAATTAACAGTGATTTTTTTCTTAATATTCTACGTGTAAAATACCTACTTATTTAAAATACACTCCAATACGTTGTCACGACCGTTATAAACTTTTTTCATTTGTTTGATAGTAAAATCTTGCGTTTATATCTAAATATAAAAACCCATAAAATCTGTCCCCGAATAAACTATAAAACAAAATTCATTGTTTCAAATAAAACGCGACCAAATGTCCCATAGCAATAAACCGCCATTTTATGACATTTCATTTGATATACGTAATTAAACAGAAAATACATACCGTGTTAAAAATGCACTATTCCATTTCAATAATCACAACACAAAATCCATCACTATATTGTAAAACACAAGCAAGAACAATCTTACATTTTATATACGTAAACACAAATCATTACCGTCATCAAAGGGCACAGAATTAGATCGTATAAATAGGTGGGATCGTTTGTTTAACAACAGCGTTTGATCAGAGAACGATTTTAACGGTCGGTACACAACCACACACTTTCAGCAGCGAAGTCGTACTGACTGCGCGGGCGGAGGAAGCGGGACGAAGGGCGTGTAAAGCTCAAAACTCATACCTATATCCCAATGCGTATTGAGGTTAAATGTTGGGATTATATCGAAATTCCAACGCTATTGTGTGATGAAAAACTACAATAGTCGATATTGGTTCCTCGAATATCCTTAAATTCGACGCTCGGAATGTTTTTATGTTGGCACGCCACCTATAATGTTCCTTTGAATTCAAATTATTTTTTATCTGTAACGTATTGCACACCTGCCTTTGACTTGTACAAAAAAAACGATTTTAGTTCGAAATTCGAAATTCGAACGCCTACTGCGCGGTAATACTGGCATTTGCACTTTTTTTTCTTTTTACATTTTGCATTTAACTGGTATACTATTAGTTAAACGTAAGAATTATCCGATCTTTCAAGGGTAGTTAAACATTAGTTTCGCATTTATTAGTAAATAGTATTTATCCTATTTTTACTCCCATAAGTAAAGGAAGGTAAATATTTGTCGGTGGAGGAGACGCACAGAAAGGGGAAATATCCTCTTGCATATTCGTCGCGTCTTCCGTCGATTATGGGTGGATATGGGCAGCCAGCGGTCGATTCGCCATTTTAGCGGATTGAGATGCCACTTGTGCTTCTGCTACCTTTGGTATATTTAAAAAAAACTATAAGTCGTCAAGACAATAAACCATTTAAAAATTTAATAAGGAATAATTATTGTATTTGATTTATTATAATAGTATCTTGCTTGAGCTAAAGGTTATAGCACATTTTGGCGTAACATGAATAAACCTTTATTCATTACTTTGAAACAAGCAGCGCCATCTCTTGCACAATAAAGCCAACTAAACAAAGTTTTTTAATTAGCGACGGAAACCAACGTCTATAATACGTTTTTTAATCAAACACTAAGCTTTTATAGGATAAGTTAATTAAACAGCATATGGCAAAGTTAAACTAAGCTTACTTAATTAGACTTAATCGTTGTATGTAATTACTAAGTTCCACTATTCTATTTGATTAAAAAAATAAATAACGTCTATGGTAGCAATTTAGTTTTTATGTCTTTGGATTTTCTAGTATTCTTAATCTGTGACAGTTACGTTTTGTTCATTTTAAATATACATTACTAACGACCTTAGTGACTGATTAACAATAATACGGTAAGAATCTACACTAATGAAGAGAAGAAATTTTTGTATTTCTGTAACGAATAAATACAAAAAATACTGGGATGTTTTTAAAAATTCTCTCACCAATAAATAGCTACATTACAATTACGTAACGCACGATTTTTTTTTACACAAAATAAGGTGGCAAACGAGCAAGCGGCCACCTTAATCCACTGAAATGGAAAGTGACCGCTGCCCATAGACATCCACAATTCCAGATGCGTTGCCTACCCTTAATTCACGGAGGAGGAGGCGCACCTAAAGACATTTCCTCTTCCTATGCGTCTCCTCCACCATCAAACCCACTTTTCCTTCCCATCCTTTCTTCTTAAGCAAAGGTTGGAAAGGGAAATTAGGCCTCCGGCACCACACTCATCAGACGAAACGCGGAATTGCTTCCTCTTCAGTCCTGTTGTCTATATGGTCGTGGTATTACAACGGGTAAGCCGGCCAATTCATGCGAAAGTGTTAAAGCGGGCTCTACCACTGTTACAGGATACATTTATAGCTATTTTTTAAAAACCTCACGAATAAAGTCGCGAGCATAAGTTAGTTACCAAATGAGACCGGAATTACGTGATTACGGCACATTACTCAGCAGCAATGACATATAGGTATACAACATTATTCGCATCTAAAGGTTTCCGCGAAATCTCAGCCAATTTGTAACAGTAAAGTGCTTTGAAAGTGTAAAAGTTACATGAGAAATAAGCAATTCATAAGGAACATCATTCAAGGCAAGGGGAGTCAAGAGGCGTATGCGTATGGGGGGTCTAAGTTGACTAGAAAGGAATATCACCCAAAACGTGCGTTAACGACAATATTTAAAAATTAACAAGTATCTCGCACCTCATTTAAAAATGTGTTAAAACTAATAGATGTCCCTAATATCTACTTTACAATGGGAAATTAAATCCGTTTCGTTTGTAACAAATAAACTTAAAAACTACTGAACCGATTTTAATAATTCCTTCATTATTAGAAAGCTACATTATCCTAGAGTAGTATAGACTACTAGCTGTTCTCGTGCGGCTTCATCCGCATGACTTTATTATATACGTCAAATTATCAATTGCAAATGTCAAAAATGCACTAAAAACAAAACAAAATACACCAAAAACAAAATATTCTCAAAAAAAACAGTACACTAAAAAGTAACGAAATAATTCCTTGAAAATAGTAAACCTACCTTATTGTAAGTGTTATGTCTATATTGTACAATTATTTTTACTTTGATGTCGGTGTCAGCCAAGGTATGCAGTGATATTTCTACGTAAGGGTTTCCATATTTTTACCATAACAATTGACAATTGAAAGTATAGTAACAATTAAGTAATGAATCTACATTGACTGACACCGACTTCAAAGTAAAAATAATTGTACAATATAGACATAACACTTACAATAAGGTAGGTTTACTATTTTCAAGGAATTATTTCGTTACTTTTTAGTGTACTGTTTTTTTTGAGAATATTTTGTTTTTGGTGTATTTTGTTTTGTTTTTCGTGTATTTTGTTTGGAAGTCGGTTTTGCTTTTTTATTAAAAAGTTTATTTATTTCTTGATTTTTAGTGAATCTAAACATTGCAGTATGATAATCACTAGCTTTCAAACAAAGAATGAGTTATCTAAATCGATTATATAAGAAATTAAGTAAAGATCTAATACATCGTTGCGATCATTCACTCATAATTCTGCACAGCCGCGCGCCGCTGTTGCCCGTGAGTTTTAATATTTTGATAACTTCTAGAATCTTTGTCAGAATTACATATTGTAAAAGGCAGTTATGATCTACATTTAATACTCTACCGTGAAAACATATTTATTTGGATAAGGATTCATACGAAATAAGAATAAAAGCGTTTTAAGAAAGTCGATTGCATTTATTTGACGGTTTTCGCGAAACAAACGGTTATTGTGCGACAACCTTAAGAGATAGATATATGCTATCGCGGACTTTTATATAGCTTATTAAATGAGCTACAATTCTTTCATACATCATTTTTATGTAGATCTTATAGTTTAGGCTACGTAAGCCAAGAAAGCAAACTTTGTTACAAGTTGGTATTTTTTTCTGCGACTCGTAATTTGTAATTTATGATATCTCCTAAACTATTGATCGGAATTATATAGTTTCAAGGGCATTTATTATCTACATTAAATTCTCTTGATGATAGACACATTTATTTGGATAAGGATTCATACCGAACACGAGTAATAGCGTTGAAAGTTGGGTGTAGATTTCGAGCGATATTTTGATGAAAAAAGTGGTTATTGTGCGACAACCTTAATAGATAGATATATGCTATCGCGGACTTTTATTTAGCAAATTTAATGGGCTACAATTCTTCCATACATCATTTTTATGTAAGTCTTATAGTTTAGGCTACGTAAGCAAAGAAAGCAAAAATGACCCGAAATTTCGTCGCGCGATTTTGAGCTAAACTATTTAACTACGTCGTAGTCTTAGACTCCAAAAATTAAACAAAAAAATGGGACCCACCTGCAAGCATTACCTTTCGGATAAAAAAAGAATTATCCAAATCGGTCCACTAGCGGCGGAGTTATGCCGTAACACACATAAAAAAAAAATAAAAAAAAAATATACCGACGAATTGAATACCTCCTTCTTTTGGGAAGTCGGTCAAAAATGACATGACTTGATGACAAACCATGGCAATCTTACTTCCTTAATATTGGCAGCTTGTATGGTCCCTTTCCCACATTAGGGTTTTCATCCAATTTATTTTCTAAGTTTTAAAGCGTGAAGGAAGTGTAGGGCTTTTTATAAAAGAAAGAATTTTTCAAAAATATGCTGTTATTGCTGACATCTTAGGCAACAAAGTAGTGTCTGTTTAAGCTTTATTTTATTAATATAGAACATTGTTTTTAAAATAAATAAAACTAATTAACAAACTTACAGTATTATTCTACCTACAAAAACATGATATAAATTAATATGATTACAAAAGATCACGTCAAAGATAAAGTTTTTAACAGTTTCTACACATTGTTAGCGTTACCGAAACTTACGAGTACAAATTAATACAAAGATGCGATATACGTCTGAAACAATTGAATCGTTTATATTGTTTTTTTTTACATGAGAAGGGGGCAAACGAGCTGCGGGAACACAAAGGTGGTCAACGACGCCCATGGACATCCGCAACACCAGAGAAACTACATATACGTTGCCGGCCTTTGATGAAATTGTAGGCTCGCTTCTTGAAGGACCCTAAGAAACATGTTTACAAAAACCTACTCCCGACCGCTCCTATATCGTCAGCGACCATATCGATGTTTTGTGTTTTTTGTGCTGTGTGTAAATATGCTTTAAATCTTTTGTTTTACGTATTATCGACAGTATGCAGTATTTCAGCGGTTAGCCGTTTATTGGTTAACCGCTTTAATAGCATTTTCTGAAGCGCTTTCACGCTCGAACACATTAAACCCTTGCTCTGTTTGTTCCGAACTTAATAGTTATTTGATAGTACGGTAATAGACTTAAATGAAACAGACTGTTGCTCGCTACTTCGTCCGCGTGAAATTAAAAAAATAATAAAAACAAAGCCTATGTTACTCACAGTTAAATTACCTTTCTAATGGTGAAAGAATTTTTAAAACTGAAACAATAGTTTTTACAGGAATCTAATACATACAAAAATACAAATCTTTCCTCTTTATATTGGCATATATAATACTAGCTGATGCTCGCGACTTCGCCCGCGTATAATTAAAAAATAATAAAAACATAGCCTATTACTGATAACGTAGCTAATTTTTGTAATCAGCCAAGTAGTTTTAGAATTACTTCAATACACACAGATCTACAAAAATACAAATC